CGTATCCAGGTGTTAGAATAGCCTAGTCAAAGTCCAGACCTGAATCCAATGGAGAATCTGCGGGAAGAGCTGAAAGCTGCTGTTCACAAGCATCTCCATCCAGCCTCACTGAGCTCCAGCTGTTTTAAGAAAGAATGGGCAAGAATTTCAGTCCATGTGCAAAACTGAGAAGCAACTTGCAGCTGTAATCGCAGCACAAGGTGGCGCTACAGAGTATTAACACAAGGGGGCCAATAATATTGACGCCCCACTTTGCAGGTTTTTGTTTGTTAAAAACGTTTTAAAATATCCGATAAATTTCACTCCACCTCACGATGTATGTGAGTCCGGCGGAGGCCGGTTCTGTCGGGTCAAACGCCTCTGACCTGACAGGAGGCCACAGGTTGCCAGGTAAACTCTTGAGCAGTTGTTGGGCTACGATGCATCCAGGTCGTGGTGGGGGTTAACCCTAACCATACCCACGGTAGTAGATATCTGCTGCTGGGGCTCCACCCTGTCAGGCCGACGTACCGGAGACACAGCAGGAAGTAGGCCGGACCGGGAGCCTCTTCGTAGCAGCTGGGTTGTGATAGTTCAGCTGGGATCCTTCAGCTGCATGTGAAACTTAATGTGAGACTGCAGTACATGAACCCAGATCATCCTGGACCACAGAATGCACAGGAAGTTGGGCATGTTTCCACTTCCTGTTCCTGACAGGAAGAGATCAATATTTCTACTTCCTGTTTCTGATGGGAAGTGATAAATGTTCAGATTAAGTCTATAGATTGAAGGAGAACCTTCATAGTTCAGGCAGGACTTAATGATTTTAACTGATTTTATTTAAAATCTAATTTAGAAAAATATATTAAAAAAAGTTTCAAAACAAAAGCTAATTTATTTATCATCTGGTCAGACGTTTACCATCCCAGATTTCAGTAAATAAATATTCTGTGAGAAGAAGGAAAAGATTTCTGTTTAAAATTAAACAACTTTGGACTAAATTCACTGGCACTTTAAATCAGCTAAAACTAGAACTGGACCAGCTGCAGGTGGGTTAAAAAGTTCTTTTAGAACCCAGACCAGAAGAACTAGTTGGATTCAGAACCGTTCACAAAATCAAGCCGGGTTTTGGTTCTGCCTTTCAGACGCTGTCGGTGTCGATGCTGCTCAGATACTCCCACCACCAGATCTTCGTCTTCATCGGTTTGTTTCCGCTGCTCGGTCCATTCAGACCCGGTACGGCCCGGTCCGGTTCTAACCTGCTCTGTGTGTTTCAGTGGATCTGCTGCAGATGCTTGAGATGAACATGACCATCGCTTTCCCAGCAGCCCCTCTGCTCACTGTCATCCTGGCCCTGGTTGGTGAGTTCTGCATTGGTTCTCCTGATCCAGTCTGGATTTACAAACCGTTCTGGTTGTTTTGTATCTGTGATGTCACTTCTTGTTCGCAGGCATGGAGGCCATAATGTCTGAGTTTTTCAACGACACGACCACGGCTTTCTACATCATCCTGATCGTCTGGCTGGCCGACCAATACGATGCCATCTGCTGCCACACCAACACCAGCAAACGCCACTGGCTGCGGTGAGTCCCAAGCAGGAAGCAGGAAACGGCAGGAACCAAGAGAAACAGGAAGCAGCAGGAAACAGATAGAAGCAGGAAACAGGAGAAAACAGGAAGTAGTAAGAAACAGGGGGAGGCAGCAGGAAACAAGAAACAGCAGGAGAAAACAGGAAGCAACAGGAAATGGCATGAGGAAACAGGAAGAGGCAGGAAACAGAAGAAACAGGAACAGGCTGCTCTGATTGGTCAGCTCCCACTCAAGACACACCCCTATCATACCTGTGCTAAAACACCTGCGTGTCCTGATCCACAGTTCTGGTTGGTCAGGTAAGCCTCCAGGTGTGGCTGCTGTAGCTCACCTGGTAACCATAGAAACAAGTTTTTATCCAGTCCAGATAAATGAGAAAGTTCTGATCGTTCCTATCGATTCCGTTGGTTCTCTTGGTTCGGGTTTACTCTGATGGTGCTGATGGAGTTGATGGTTCTGAAAGTTCTGTTTGGTTCATTTGGTTCTGTTGGTTTGTTTGGTTCTGATGGTTCTGTTTGATTTTGATTGGTTCTGTTTGGTTCTTATTGTTCGTTTGGTTCTGATTGTTTGGTTCTGATGGTTCCGATTGTTCTCTTGGCTCTGGTTGGTTCTATTTGGTTCTAAAGGTTGTGGTTGGCTCAGTTTGGTTCCTATGGTCCTGATGGTTCTGTTGATTCTGTTGGGTCTAGGTTCTTCTACCTGTACCACTTCGCCTTCTACGCCTACCACTACCGCTTCAACGGTCAGTACAGCAGCCTGGCTCTGGTCACTTCCTGGCTCTTCATCCAGGTGAGGTCCCTCCTCTTCCTCTCAGCCGTGAGGCTCCGCCCCTTCCTGCCCAGGTTGCCTCTGATTGGCCAGTTCTCTCTTCCTGCAGCACTCGATGATCTACTTCTTCCACCACTACGAGCTTCCTGCCATTCTGCAGCAGATCCGGATCCAGGAGATGCTTCTGCAGAACCAGCAGGCGGGTCAGAACCAGACGGCTCTCCAGGACAACCTCAACAACAACAACGCCACCGCTGCCGGGACTGCCGCTGGGCCGGAACCCGCTGGGACTGGACAGTCAGCAGACAGTACCATTGAGCCGCCGCCGGCCGGGCTGCTCCCTTCATCCTCTGTGGCGGTGGGCGGAGCCGGCGAGGTCAGAGCGGAGCTTAACTGGGTCGCTCAGACTGCCGCTGTCATCACAGAGGCGCTCGGCTCCTCCGTTGACTCGGCAGGAAGTCAGGGGTCGGCGGAGATCAGTGTGGAGTTCTGGATGGGTGGGGCAGCAGGTGGAGCTCCTGAAGGCTCATCGGAGGATAAAGCTTCAGGGGGCGGAGTTGAAGCCTCACCTGGTGATAGCAGGCGCCAGGGGGCGGAGCCTTCAGAAAGCCCCGCCCTTCATACAAACTGCCCCGCCCCTCAGAGCTCAGGTACAGACAGCGAGTCACCTGGGCAACAGACCTCCACCCCCCTTGGCATGTCGTGAGCGTCCAGGTGAGCTGATGACATCACAGTGCCACCTGGAGGCTATGGACCGTCAGCTGATCACTGAGCTGCACTTTACTCCAATTAATCAATTAATTAACTGATCCATCAATTAACCAATGAATGAGCTGATCTGAAGGTAGCCCCGCCCCCACCCGACACTCAGCAGGGTGACCTGGCTCCAGGTGTGACCAGTAGGTGAACTGAGATTCTGACCCGTCTGGACACCCACAGGTCTGACCCGGTTCTGCTGAGGGATGATTGACCCGTCAGGTTCTGGTTCTGACCCATTCTGTCGGACTGAAACCCAGATGGAACTCTAATTCTGCTTTTATTTTGTAGAACAGGAAGCTGCTGATTGGCTGTTGCTGATTAAGCTCCGCCTCTTTGAGGGCGTGTCCTGTGTTTACGTGTTCAGGCTGCATGAGTTCACCTGTTCAGAACCAGAACCTCATCACCTCTATGTTCTGATTGTGACATTGGAGGCGGGGCCTGGGTGGGCGGGGCCTGGGTGGGCGGGTGGTTTTTTCTTGATACCCCTGCTGGTCGACTGGAGTGTTAGGAACCAGTGGAACATGTGAGGCCTCCTGCAGGTGGATCAGACTCAGCTGAAGGTCAAAAATAAAGAGTTGTGGAACCAGCTGGCTTCCTGTGGTCTGTATCTCACCTGGTAACCGGGTCAGAACCGTTACCCAGTTTGAAACGGCTGAATGCTCTAGAAACAGCCGACACAGTTCACTGAGCCAGAACCAGATCTGGGGTCAGGTTAAAAGCCTGTAGAGGGAGGCAGAACCCGTTTGGACCGAGCTGGGCCTGCTAGCCCAGTCTGTTTCTGATTCTGCTGATAGTCCAGAGATGAAAGTTGGTGAAAATCAGTCAGGTTTATTTAAAGGGCCAGCACTAATTGTAGAGCCAAATCAGCTTCCTGTTAGGAAAGGATCCAAGATTAGTTGAGACAATCGACTCTATTTGGGAAGTATTTATTTTGGATGTAAAAACAGTACAGTAAAAATGCTGTTTTCATACATTTTAATAAAATATTGTCACATGAAATTTGCCATGTTGTTCGCTGCAGGACAGAGTTGGCTGTAGCAGCTGGTGTTTGCTGCTGCTGCTAACTTTGGCTTCATAAATGAAACAATGAATGTGACGGACTTCCGGTCGGACTGGGTGATCCGCGTTTCCCCATCAGATGCCTCCAGTGACGTGCGGTTAGGTTGATGGCTGGTGAGGCACCGACTTAATCATGATCAGTTTTATAAATATAGACGCTGTGCGTATTGTTTACATGCTAAGATTTATACCAAGCACAACGCTGGAGCGCAAAAACTATTCTTTCACATGCCATGCATAGCTGCGCCGCGGTACAATAATTCTATAACTCAATGAAACTTGGAAATGTAGGCAGGACCGGCCCCAGCCTCCATGGGGCCCCAGCCTCCATGGGGCCCCAGCCTAATCTGGTTTTGGGGCCCTCTAGTTCTGCTAACCGTGTGGACCGGCTGCAGTCAGCAGTCCGATCATCAGGTCATTCACACACCTGCTATAAGCTGATTGCATCTCTGGATGTTTACATTATATACATGTATAATATACGACACATTTATTGGCCAACTGGTTTATCAACCAGTCGATTTCTGGGAGCCGATTTCCTTAATTTTGGGGAATCGTAATCGGCCAATACTTACATGTGAAGCTGATCTTCATCAGCAAAGGTTATGACTCAGCCTCTGTCCTCTTCTGCTCTGCAGTGACAGGTTTGACTGGCAGACCAACAGGTCTGAACCTTTACAGTTAACAATATTCACCCACTGTGGAAACTCAGCGACTTTCTTGCTACATTTAGCAACATTTCAGACAAAAAACTTCATATCAGCCAAAACCAAAATCAGCAGCTCAGGCTTTTTAAAGATCGGTAACCAGGGATCGGCCAGAAAACTGCAGTCGGTGCAGCGCTACACACATTCATGACATTCTGTGATTAGATACAAAATAAAAAAATACATTTTTACTGCTAAAAACAATTTTAGAAAACACAATATGATCAATTTTGTAATTGACAGGACCCCAATTTTTTTTATTTCTATGAAAAAAAATAAAATTGTGGAGGGCCCCCTGCTGTTCAGGGACCCGGCGCCCCTGGACAGAAGCCCTGCCCACCAGAGCCTCACCCCGTTTCCTCTGTGGTCTGCATCAGCTGCACAGGTTCAGGTTCTTCTTCTGTCATCAAAAAAAGTTCTGTCTGCGGTCCGGAACTGTCTGCTCTAGATCTGGAGCTGAAAACGGGTCGAAAAGTTCTCCGCTGCAGCACTCAGACTGCAGCAACATCGCAGCAGGTAAGATCTGATCTTCATCTCCTCCAGGACCAGGGGGTCCAAACTATGGCCTGGGGGCCATTTGTCTTCCCCCGACTGCAGGTCAGGGGACACACAAACTCCAAACCGATCAGGACTGGGTCCTGATCAGTTTGGGTCGGTTCTGGTTTCCCATAGCGTTCCCGTTTCTGTTGCTGAGAACAAACATAAATCATTTTGTAGGCAGATAAAGTCCAGAACCAGGACAGCTTTGATTCATCAGAACATCATCTCAGAACCTCCAGAACCTCTCATGAATGTTGATTCATTGCTGAGCTGCTGCAAGAAAAAGCCTTCAGAATAAATCGTTTTGTGTTTTTGCTCTTCTGGCCGGGCTGCATAATGTTTTGGCGCCCCCTGCAGGAGGTTTGGACTTCAGGCGACTCCAGCAGGAAAACATGGAGCCGGGTTCTGGAAGTCCAGCACACGGATGGACTGAAAGCAAGAGTTGGGTTCTGCTCCTTTGGTCAGTACCGCAGACTTTTGTTCTTGAACCGTTTTAAGAATCATCTCAGTTGACTGACACGGTCCTTCTGGCACCAGAACCGGATTGGACCGAAATGTTCTGGGTTTGAAAGATAATGGTTCAGTGGCCTTTCTGTTTGTCAGTAGAACCCAAACCAGCTGGGAACCCGTTCAGCAAAGATTGAACATCCAACCATTCAGTCTGTGTCCTGATCGGTTTGGGTCCAGGTTGGTTCTGGTGGGTTTGGATCGATGGATTTAGAAAGGTGTCATGATGGTGAAACTAAAATGAATTCCCATCTGCCTGTTTGATGGTTTTTAACATCGCAGCTCCTTGCTGCTCTTTTTGCCGCCGTTCATTATTAACTATTAATAATAATAATAATAATAATAATAATAATAATAAAACTATTATAATAGTTAATAACATTAACTATTATAAGTTATTATATCAACCAGCCAATCACAGACACTAACCAGCCGCTGTGATTGGCTGGTTTTAATCTGGAGGACTGTCCAACATGAAATGAGGAAGTGAAGGACAGACGGAGCAGAGCCTGTTGCTGGCAGAGCTCTGTCCACTTCCTGTCTGTCTGTCCTCCATCCTTCGGACTCTGAAGATCCTCTGCTCACGTTTCATCATGTTGGCTAGCAGCGCTCTGAGGACCTCAGTCATTGCAATCCCAACCATGGAAATCCATTAGACTTCCAGAAATTCTAACAATTTTCCTAAAATGATGTAATTCTACTTTCATCCTCAAGATTCTTCATGGATGAACTTTATTGATTCCAGAACCAGGAAGATATTGGTCAGCAGCAGGACACAAAACAGATAATAAACTCAACATAAGTAAGAATGGAAATAAAGACTGAAATGTAATTTCCTATTCTGTAAAACAGATTTGACCAAAAATCTACATATTTGTTCAAATGGAGGAGAGATGATGAACCAGTAATAGCTAGAGTTGTTTACAGGGTGATGCCAGTGGCTGGACCTCATTTGCTCCTCTGACCATGTTGAGCCTCAATCTGCCAGGGGTATGAATAATTTTGGCCTTGGTGCAGATTCATTCCTCAGTGGTTAGCATCAGTTTCCGGGCAGGATGCTGTCGTAATCTGGAGGAAACCCAGAACCACCAAACCAGACAGCTGAACTAACTCTGTTCTGATCTGTTCCCAGACACCGGGTCATGGGGAACGCCCTGAAGGCAGCGCAGCCCTCTGCTGGGAGCCCTGAGCAGCTGAAGCAGCCAGAGCAGCAGGTGGAGCAGCTGCTGCGCCGCCTCTCTGGGTTGTCAGAAGTGGAGTTGTGGCGGGTCCAATGCTGCCTCAGCCAGAACCTCCTGCCAGACACCCCTCCTATCCCAGCACACTGCCTGCGCTCTGCCGACACCCTGGGGACGGCCAGAACCCTGGTCCTGTGCTACCATGAGGACGGGCCACTCAACATTATGGCTGCGGCGCTGAAGCTGTTGAGTCCAGAACATCCAGGACTCAACATCATGAGTCCCTCCAGAACCCGACCTGTCAGCATGACGCTGCTTCATGTGGTTCCCCAACCAGAACCCAAAATGAGCCCTGGCTTTGTGAGGATGTTCCGCAGGAGGCTAATCAGCAGGATTCAGAGGCCGGGCGCCGTCCTTGATGCCCTGCGGTACAACAGGACCCTGAATGCAGCAAACAGGGAGGCTGGGAGCGCCTACGCACTCAATAAGCACAAGAACCGGGCCCTGGTAGACCTGGTTCTGAGGAAGGGACATGAACCCCAACAGGTGTTGTTCTACATCCTCAGCAAATCAGAACTGTTCATGCTGAAGGAGCTGGTTGATGAAATCAGAGAAAAGGTCTTTAGTCCTCCGGTTAAACTGTCATACTGATGTAATCGGGGTTGAGTCATGATGTCATCACATATGCTGCTTTCATTCCCAGAACTTCCAAGACTCGTCAGACTTGTTGGAGAGTCTGACCTCAGATGAGCCGAGATGTTTCCAGTGGGTGGTGGCAGACTACTTGCCTCCGCCGTATGGCTGCCAAATGTCCTTGTGGGCTGGAGGTCGCAGATGGTCCAGCCATCAAGAAGCGTCTAGAGGAGGAACTTGGATCCCAGCGGGCAGCAAGAATCACGGAGGAGGTTGTGAAGAAGATCACCCCGGCACTGCGTATGTCAACCTGAGATGGTTCCGACTGGGCTGATGGGTCCCCTTCTCTCCCAGTCAACGTGCTAAGCAACTCTAACAGTTTTTAGAGAGCACCCCAGATTTATAAAGAGGTTGATTGGATGTTGATCTGTGATGTCATCCATACCAGGTGCTGGCCTTGAAGAAGAAAAGATTTCAGAGATGTCATTGAGCATCAGAGCTGGTCCACTGGTGAGACCTTCCTACTGCGCTGCTCACTGCTCATTGGTTCATTAATACTCATATTTCTGCCGTTTAGGCTGACTTCACTCATGTTTTCGATATGAAGGACAATATGTTCAGGTACAACACTCAACTTACAGGCAATGAATGATCCTCAGTGTTGGATTATGTTGATGTTGACACATTTCCTTCCTGCTGTGGGACCCTAAAGAATGTTTCTATTTTATATTTCTATTTGACTCTAGACTGAACTGCCTGAAGCCTGGTATGTACATTTGCCTATATACTGGTCTGGTGTTGGAGGGTCTTGGTGATGTTCTGCATGAGGTGGTTCCCTGGGATGTGGACTTCCTCATGAGTAAAGGTCAGCTGGTCCCTTTTTCCGCTTCACTCTGCTGACTGGAACAAACTCCAGTTGCCTCACTGCCAGCTGCTCTCAGGTCAGTAAAGCTCACCTGGACAGGAAATGTTTCAGTTATAGTCTTCATATTACATTTTGTGTTTTCCAAAGTGAAACAGGGTAGGATGTGAAACCATCCCTGATTTTTTTGTGTCTCCAGTATGTTAGGAAACATTTTCTCTCACAAATTGGTGAAAAACTTTGCATGTTGTCGACAATGATGATTGATCTTGTCATGAGTCGTGTCTTTTCCACTAGCACCTGTTCAGGTGGTTTCCACCATGGTTACGCATCAGTTTTAGTGGCTGGGTCTGACATGTAGTGTGGCCCCCAAAGTCTGGAAAGTAGTGGGATGTGATCTGAACTCAACACAAAAACAAAGGGAGCTGTGATTCACTTTCTGCTTGATCTGTAGCTTTTGGTATAATGCAAAAAGAAAAGACCCAGGAAAGTCCGCAGGCAACGAGATACAGGAGAATATGAGCCACTTTAGTGATACAACCAGTGAATTCAATCCCTGGTCAGCCGTTGCATTTTCCGCCTCACTCTGCATGCTTGAAACCCAAGAGAAATGGGTTCTGACAAAGAACCTGGTGCCATGAAGCCATAAATAGAGGGAAACCTGTATAAACGAGTAGAGTCAGCATTAGGAGAGAAGGGCTATTAGTTAACTCTGGCATCACTGATTAGTTCTGACCAATAATCAAGAAATCTGTCTACTTGCAGAGAAAAATAAAAACTTACTGTGTGTGGCTTATGTCACTGGGGACTACATGGACCTCATCACACCTGGCCAGGAGACAGACAGTCATGTGATCATTAACATCTATTGTTTCTCATGCTTCGGTTTGGTCACATCAGCAGGATCCAGTCAAGCTGTTGCTGGCTTGGTGCTGCTATTTTTTCAGCCCTATAACTTCTCCACCTTTGTGGTGCTGCTGGCTAGGAATGTCTGCCTCAGCCAGGTAAACTGCCCCCTCCATGGATCCCAGAGGGAAACATGTTCAATATTGGTTGGACTGGTAGTTATGGGTAATGATTATTTGTGTATCATAAGATTTGGATGAAGGTTGAATGGATGGATGGATGGATGGATGGATGGATGGATGGATGGATGGATGGATGGATAGTTGGATGGACAAACGGACAGATAGGTGGATGGATGGATGGATAGTTGGTTGGATGATTGGATGGATGGAGGGATGGATGATTGGATGGTTGGATGGACGGATGGATGGATGGTTGGACAGTTGGATGGACGGACGGACGGATAGATGGATGGATGGATGGATGGACGGATGGATGGTTGGACAGTTGGATGGACGGACGGACAGATGGATGGATGGATGGATGGATGGATGGATGGATGGATG